CATTAGTGGTCGGGTACACAGACCCTTCAGCTAGAGGTATGCGTACCACTAATACTGCAAAATGAAGGTACATGAACATCAACATTCCTTTTGTATTATATAGCCTATTAAGTTCGATATTCACAGTCAGTACGATACCCTCGCTTTTGCTGTTCGCATGTGCCTTGTTGTGTTATTAAATAAAGCTATTAAAAGTCTTATTATTCTCTGTATTATCGCGCCAGTCAATCACCTCATATTTGGTGTTCCCGAAGTGATTAAGACAATTTTTTTGAGGGCAAACTGTGCGCGAAATCCAAGTATCGTCGTGAGTAAGTTGTTTCTGATTATTAGCTATTTTGTGTCGCCAAACTGATTAGTTAAAGAAACATGACTCTTTACGATCAACAAGCCTTTCCAAGCATCGATCGCGTAGCTGTGCGATTGCCTCCATTTCGGGCAAAAGACACGGAAATTTGGTTCCAAAAATAGAAGCGCATTTTTCTGTTTCTCATATAACATCCGACAAAACCAAGTACAACCAGGTTATTGGCAATTTACTATGCTACATAAAAGAAGTGCGGGACATAATAATTAATCCACCTGCAGTTGGTAAATATACAATTCGAGAACAACTTATTCGAAGATTGAGTTCGTCGCAAGAACAGAAGACTAAACGTCTGTCCGAGCACGAAGAAATAGGTGATCGCAAGTCAACGCAATTTTTACGCCCTCTTCGTAGTCTCGCGGGAGTTGTAGTACCAGATAGCATCCTTCGACCTTTATAGTTGTCGCGTCTAACTCAGGTAACTCAAGCTGACCACCCAAAGTGAAGCAACGTTGGACAAATTAGCCGTTGCAATTTTAGTCGCAGCAGCACCAACGCTGCACATTTGACAACTCCAGAACAATGCTCCTGTAGTTATTTTCGTGGATCGATTCTATTCCCTACTCACCGAAAGGATAAATGAAATGGCTAAGGTCCCGTGAGTAACTCTCAACGTAAATATGTTTCATGACATCCGCAAACACGTCCTCGTTGGCGAAATAATGGAAACCGTCAAACAAACAATAATAGGGGCGTATGTTGGTATCATGTGCGATTTGGAAACGGTGCAAGTATACAGCACCATGTAATATTTCGGGAAACGCGACGGGCAGTCACTGTTGGCGGCAAGCGACGCTAACCCCAAATCATGCCGCCTATCTGTAACGTATAGGAACTCAAAAGTGCCCTTTTTAATAGATACTGGTGAGGATTTGTGTGTTTATCCGCGTGTGCGGCTCCGCGATCCGCGAAAAAAGACAGACTATGAGTTGTATGCCGCCAACAATACAGTGATTGCAACATACGGATATACTACACTGTCATTAAACTTTGGTCTGCGTCGCAACTTCACGTGGTGTCTTATGGTCGCTGATGTGTCGAGACCATTAATTGGGGTTGATATTTAGCATCATTATGGACTGCTAGTAGATATATGAAACAATCGCCTAGTAGACAGCTTAACGTCACTTTCAACGCCTGGAAAATATTCGACGGACACCAACTACAGCAGTATCAAAATGATAAGTGAAAAGTTGCGCAATCATATGCTATTTGTGCAATTTCTAGACGTCATAAGACCAAGTGACAAATGTCTATTCCAGTTAAAAAATACCACTCAACATCATATTCAGACGACTCATGGACCTCCGATACATAGCAAGCCCCAAAGGCTTGCACTGGAAAAACTACAAGCGGAGAAGAATGAATTCGAAGCACTCATCAATGTAGGCATCGCTAGATCATCAAAGAGCAGCTGGTCGTCACCGCTTCACATAGTTCCCAAGAAGAGTGATGAAAGGAGGCCACGCGGTAATTACCCAGCTCTTAATGCAAGTACTATTCCCGACAGGTACCCTGAACCACATATTGAAGACTTCGCGCAGGAATTACACGGCAAAACTATTTTCTCAACCGTTGACTTGGTGCGAGCGTTTTACCACATACCGGTAACACCCGAAGACGTTTCAAAGGCTGCAATTACTACACCCTTCGGTCTTTCTGAGATGCTATACATGCCTTTCGGCCTACGGAACGCTGGTCAGAGTATGCAGAGATTTGTTGATGAAAAGTTTCGGGAGCTGAAATTTGTCATCAAATACATCGACGATTTCCTAATTGCCTCAACATCCGAGGAGGAACATGCACAACATCTTCAGCAGGTATTCCAACAGTTTAAAGAGCTAGACTCGTAATAAACCCTGCAAAATGCGTTTTTGGACAAGCGCGTGTCAAATTTCTGGGCTACGAATGTTAAGCGAAGGTATCCGCCTGGAAGATAAAGTTGAAGCTATAAAAAACTACCCGAAGCCAGAAACTGTTAAACAATTGCGACAATTTCTCGGAATGTTAAATTTCTGTTGCCGTTTTATTCCGAATTCAGCATGATCCCAGGCTCCACTTAACGAGTTACTACATGGAAACATCAAGGGTAAAACTCCAATTAAATGGTCACCAGAAGCTTTTTCTGCCTTCGAAAGACGCAAAAGCAGCAGTGCGGAAGAAACACTTTTGGCTCATCCACAACACAATGCTCCTTTGGCTCTAATTACCGATGATCTGACTTCGCAATTGGCGCCGTGTTGCAGCAGTAAATCGACAACGAATGGCAACCACTCGCATTTTTCTCGCGAAAACTCAGCACCGCAGAAAAAAAATACGCAGCATATGATCGCGAACTACTTGGCATATACACAGCGATTAAACATTTTCGGCACATGATCGAAGGAAAAGTCTTCACAATTGTTACCATCATATACTCATTACGTATGCGTTTCGACAAAAAATGGAAAAATGTTCACCACGCCAATCAAGACAGGTTGATTATATAGCACAAATTTCTACGGATATTCAACACATATGCGGAAAAAATAATATAGTGGCTGATGTTCTTTCGAGGATAAACGAAGTGTCTGCAGCAATTGACTTTAAGGCTTTATTCAAATCACAAGAAAATGACGAGGAATTAAAGTCATTCATAAATAACCCAAATATAGGACTTAAATTAAAACGTGTGCAATTACCTGGAACAAATTCTACTGTGTATTACGAATTAAAGCATCAACAAAATTAATCGATTAACTCAGATTGTAGAACATGGATCCTCAGCTGTATTTCCTGTCAGCGATCTAAAATATCAAGACATGTCTCATCAGGGTAGTTCATCTCGCCATCATCCCGTTTCGAACATATTCCCATAAACCTTGTAGGACCCTTACCATTTTCCCGAGGAGTTAGATACTGCATGACATGTGTTGATAGTTTTACTCGTTGGCCGGAAGCGTGGCCAATTGACAACATTGACGTCACCACAGCAGCGTGGACTCTTTTGGAAGGTTGGGTTGCGCGATTTGGAACGCTGCTAAGAATAACCACAGACCGAGGACGTCAGTTTGAGTCTTATCTCTTTAAGGAATTAAATTACTTATTAGGTACGACACACCTGAAAACAACTGCGTACCATCCAGCCGCCAACGGAATGGCCGAACGACTGCACAGGCATTTAAAAAACGATATAAAAGCTCATGAAACGCGATGGACCGAAGCGGATCCACAGCTAAAGAATACCGCCGAGTACGTTAACCAGTTACGACAATTCTTCGCTTATCTCAAACCGATGGACGGAACAAGTCATGGGAAACAACGCACATTTGTTTTCAAAGAACATCTCCAAGTGCGAAAAAGTCTTCGTTCGTAGTAACTTAACAAAATCATTGCAACAACCATACGAAGGACCATTTCAGGTAATAAGTCGAAGTTTCTGTTAAAGAAAAAAATATACCACGATTTCAATTGATCGCCTAAAGCCTGCTTATTTAATAGCAGATGATGATTGTTCAAACCAAGTCGACCCACCTGCAACTAGTAAAGAAACCGAAAAACCTAATGGAAATACAGCTCGTGGGAACACTCGATATAGCAAGAAACAATTTTAATGTGTATCAATCAAGCGTCTTCATTTGTGCTGACTTAGTTAGGTCGCGACACAGTGCGGTTACACACACAAATGTAAATTGCTGAAATGTTCTTTGCCATTTAAACTAATGTAAATAGTTTTGTATAAATAGCGTGTAACACCAGGCTCGCTATAATTGGATACTGCAACAGTATTAACACCTGAATACCGCAAGTGTATCAACCATCGGATGCATAGACACAGCAATGTGTTCAACATAGTTGCAGATCGGTTCTTCTCAGAACCACAACTTTTGTTAGTCGCATCTCTCATTACTACGACAGTGTGGCTACACCTGAAAAACCACTAGAAAACCGACCAAAGAGAAAAGTCAAATTTCCAGATTATTATGGTTCTCGAAACCATTATTAATTTACCTATATTGTCTCGATAAATGTAAATCATTTTTTATGTATTGCTTGTGTATGTTTATTTTTTTTTTCTTATTGTTTTAACTTTAAAACATTTACTATTCCTAAAAAATACTACCAGCGGGGTAATGTAGCAGCAAGTATATAAATTTCCCAATTTTAACTTTCTCAGAAACATCTTGAATGGTTGGAAATTTTGTACATTAGTGGTCGGGTACACAGACTCTTCAGGTCGGGGTATGTATATTGAGAAATGCAGGTGCGTGAACATTAACATTCCATTTATATTACCATATATAGCCTATTAAGATCGATATTCACAGTCAGTACGATACCCTCGCTTTTGTTGTTCGCATCTGCCTTGTTGTGTTATTAAATAACGTTATTAAAAGTCTTATTATTCTCTGAAATATCGCGCCAGACAATCCCCTCACCTGTAAACAAAGAAAAATATATTTCTTTTACGAAGTATGTGTAAAATACCACGATTAACCCCAGATTTCAAGAATTATTATAGATAAAGAACAAAAAATAATAACACGGAAATATTTTCCAAATGACGACAAATTGCTACAACGTAAAGGTATTTTTCCATATGAATACATGGACTGTTGGGAAAAATTACATAATACTAAGTTACCCCCTAAAGAATGTTTTTTCAGCACGATTAACGACTGTCACGTTTCTCACGAAGACTACGAACATGCTTGCTTAATTTGGGATACATTCAAAATTAATACTTTACAACAATACGCAGAAATATATTTAAAAACAGATGTTTTGCTTCTTGCTGACATTTTTGAAAATTTTCGATTGACTTGTTGGAACACGTACAAACTGGATAGTTTACATTATTATACTGCGCCAGGGCTCGCTTTCGATAGTATGCTAAAACTTACGGGGGTTGAATTAGAACTACTAACTGATATTGATATGATAATGTTCCTAGAACGAGGGATACGTGGGGGTGTCTCGCAGGCGTGTAATAGATATGGAAAAGCAAATAATAAGTACATGGGAAGTAGTTTTAATGCAAATGAACCTATATCATATTTAATGTATTTCGACGTAAATAATCTCTACGGTTATGCGATGTCGTTTCCTTTACCAGAAGGGAAATTTGAATGGGTTGATGATGTCTACTCTATTGTAATTAATGACATTCCCGACGATGGTGAGTACGGTTACATATTTGAAATCGACCTAATTTATCCAGTAAAACTACATAAAAAACATCGTGATTTACCATTACTTCCGGAACATTTAATTCCACCAGCTTCCAATTCAAAAATGCATAAATTAATGACCACACTTTACGATAAGAAAAACTACATTATTCATTATAGGAATTTAAAACAGGCGTTAAATTTAGGTATTGAAATTGAAAAGGTTCATCGTGTATTAAAATTTAAACAATCACCTTGGTTAAAAAAATATGTCGATTTGAATACAAGTTTACGACAGGCGAGCAGAAACGATTTTGAAAGAAATTTCTACAAACTTATGAATAACGCTGTATTTGGTAAGACAATGGAAAACGTACGAAAATATAAGGATGTTAAATTGGTAACAAAATGGTCCGGAAGATATGGTGCAAATTATTATATTTCACAACCAAATTTCCATAGTTGTACGATATTTGATGAAAATATGGTACTTATTGAAATGAAAAGGCTAAATGTTACATTTAACAAGCCAATATACATAGGATTCTGCATACTTGACATTTCAAAAACTATACTATACGACTTTCATTATAATTACATTCAAAACAAATTCTGTGAGAGGGCCAAATTACTTTATACTGACACAGACTCGCTAATATACCAGTTCTTTGTTGACGATATTTATCAACATATAAAACATGATATACATAAATTTGATACATCGGACTATCCACCGAATAATATTTATAATATACCTTTAAAAAATAAAAAAGTCTTAGGTCTTGTTAAAGATGAACTTTGTGGTAAGATATTTTCTGAATTCATCGCTTTGCGATCGAAAATGTACGCTATAAAATTGTATAATGGTAATGATAAGGAGAAAAGTGATGTAGAAGTTAGGAAAAAGTCTAAAGGTATTACAAGGGCAGCAATTAGAAAAATTACATTTGAAGATTATTTTAAATGCTTATTCCACAATAGAACAACAGAAGCTAGCCAAACTTTAATTTTGTCGAAGAAACATAAAGTTCATACCGTGCGACAGAAAAAAGTAGCACTTAGTCCACACGACGATAAAAGAATGGTAAACTATATTTACACAGATACGTATCCGTGGGGTTACAAAGATAGCATTTAATATACGAATAACAGTAGTATAGTTAGTACCTATTTCATTTTTTGTAAACAATTTAGATCATATTCTAGTCTAATAATATGTAAACGGAAGGTATTGTGAAATGTGATGTACTATATATTATAAATAATAAAAATATATGTATAAAACGAATATTTGTGTGTGTGTAATTTACTACTTTAAAATAAAAGGCTATATAGGTATATGTGACTTTTTAAGTTTAAATTTATTAACTTCCTGATTAAAGAAAAAGAACAGAGATAAAGGCATTCTGTGTGTATTCTAAATAAACCTATAATGGTTAGAAAAACGGTTGTAGCAGAGGAGATATCATAGCTTTTAGTGTCGTCGATGACAGACGAAGTACGATAATAATAATAATAATATGCGACCAGGAGACCGTTCGCTCTCATAAGTGTCGAGCAAGGCAACGTAGTAACCATGTACAGTACTGAACGGATATCATTTACCCGGTTTGGAACGACGAGCGGACGGCAAGTTCGTGGCTTAAATAGACTGCGAATAACAACCATTGATGGTTCGAACTGTGCATACCTAGAATTTTTGTAAGACCAGACAGCGTAGCAGCACAGCTGCAGCATCATCAGTCATCACCGACCAATATTATTACCTACTTACCTACGTACCTACCTACAGTGTGGAACGACTGTTACGTTTCATTTAAATAATTCCATTTTTTTTTTTTA